TTCCAGGTACCTGGCATGCACTTTCCAAGCAGCTAAAAACCAGCTAGATCTAGAATATCTTCAAAAGATCTCCGTCGAACTGCTTCCACAAATGCATCAAGTTTAGAAGTAAGACGTCAAGAGCTTGAGCTTCGAAAGCTTGAAGCAGATATTAAAAAGCAAGAAGAAGAGACTCAAAAACAATGTCTTGAGAATGAGAAATTAGAGCTTGATCTTATAGAGCGGCGGAACAGAATTCAGGAATCAGCAAGTGATCTCTAAGCAGTTCACCACCAGTTTCAGATCAAGTCACATCCTGTAGCCTATGCAAGAATATATTTTTAATCATCTTCACCCTCAGACTCAAAAACTCATATCAATGTAAAGAGAATTGATGTACAGGCAGAATTCTGCTTACATCCTCAATTCCATGTGCAACACATATATATATACACATTCATGATAAGTCTTCAAAATTTACTGTATTGATTAAGAAGCAGCTAGGAAGCAGTTGAGAAGCAGTCTACCTGGCATCTACCTATCTAGTCCATGTCATGCTGAAAGAGATGGAAGTACTCACAGCTCTCCATGTCCTTACAGCAATTATTACGATTACCACAAGCGGAACAGGGGATCTTATGGCCCATGAGGACCACCTGCTTTCGCATGTCTGTCACATGCACCTAAATACTCAGTAAGCAGTTGCCAGGCAGCTGAGAAGCAGTTGGGGAGCACTTACACCCCCGTTCTTCTTCATTGGCAAAGGAGGTCTCTCCGATGCTTCCTCTCCACCCGTCCCTTCCTTATCACCTTCCTCCTCATCCTCATGTTCCTCGTCCTCATGACCCCCGTCCTCTGCCTCAGACCTAGATCCAATGGCACTGGGCACCTCAGCCTCAGCCCCCAACATCAAGCCTTTGTACCACTCTGAAGGTCATAATCAGTTCAAAGCCGCTTGGCAAGCGCTGAGGAATCACTTACTGACAGCAGCATCGACCACCTTCTGAGCAATCCGACCGCCCTTCTGGCCCTCCTGCAGATGAATGCCCTCATGGCTCTTGATGTGCAAAACTAAATTGTTCGTGGCACTATAATGGTGCTAAGTAGTTGACAAGCAGTTAGCAAGCGACCACCAAGCATCTAGCTAAGAAAATCTCACCTGGGCACGCGAACAATCCTCCACCCGACAAAAGACTTCGCTGTAGTAGATCTTGATGGTTCCGTCTGGGTTCTGAGCGGTTACAAAATAGTTAGGAAGCAGTTAAATTGAAATTGATTTTCAGAAGACTTACCAGGTCGTACGCAGGAAGTTCAAGGCTGCCATTGACAACCTTCTGCAAGTATCCTTTATACCATTTCTAAAAGAACTATTTAGAGCTCTGTATCACAGTCTACTAGCTGCAAAACTGATAAAAAAGACTTACATTACTGCTCAGTAAAGCCATAATCGTCAAGGGATTGATGGTTAGTTGGTAATTGATTGGAAAAAGGTCATGCGAGGTGAAAAATATTACAAGGAGGTAAATTATTCAATGTGGGTCACATGATGCTAATAAATTACATAATCATCTTTTCCACTCGCGCGACCCGAAAAAGGACCCCGACCGACCTGTAACCACGTAGTCTGACCATATTTTAATTGGAAGGTCCTGGGTTCGAACCTGGGTCATGTTATTTAGAATTTACACAATTATCTATGTATTGATGGCCCCTATAGGGGAGCAGGGTTGTCATACTTTTAACAAGTGTAATTCTCCGTCTATCTATTGGCCTGGTTGATACTTCATTCTGGATGTAGTAATATGTCCATTTGGTATTGAACTAGGCAATAGAGGACTTTCATGTACTCATTGGGTCATTATTTTTTTTTTCTTCCACTTACAAACCCCCAGGTCTATCTATGAGCTTTTATTAGAGAGAGGACCAGCTGGGTAGAAAATCCTGAATAAATAAGGTCATATTGTATAAGCCCTAATTTCACAATCAAATGATTAGTATAGTTTTTTTCTTTTCTAAAATTAGATTATATTAGGATTTGAGATTTTGATATGAGATTGAGATCTCAAAAAATTATTGAGATGAGATTGAGATGAGGTTGAGATGTAAAGATCATTGTTGAGATGAGATTGAGATCTCAAAAGCCCTTTGGATATGAGATTGAGATCTCAGAAAAGCTAGTTGAGATGAGATTGAGATGAGACCTTTTGATATGAGATGATTAGTCATATCTCATCTCATCTCATCTCATCTCAAACGGTCAGCCTAAATACAGCTCATTGAAATATTATGATCCAAATGCATTGACAAGGAAATAGTGAATGATATGATGGCTGAACGACCAACTTCACATGAAGCACTGGAGGCACTCAGGGTGGTGATAAGATATGCAGAAGCAAACTTTGATTCTCAGGACGCTGTTTATTTATACATCTGGGGCGAATGGACGAAAGGCTGGTGAGGCGACAAAAAGAAAAAAGCTTTATGGATAGCCGACAAAGAGAAAGAGATTTTATGAATATTTGTGCGCGGACTGGGCTTCATGGTGTGAATAGAGAATAGAAATATGCCCAAGAGAGCTGTTAAAATCTAATCATGAATCCCCATCTTTCAAAGGGATGGTGTTATACATGCTTTTTCTTATTTTCTCCTGATTCCCCTGACTCATCCCTATATGTTGAACCATCTACCTGTTTGAACCCATGAGTTCGCTTAGTTATATTCGGCTGTTAGTTGTCGAGTTATCCGAAAAATTGCGTCTTGTCTCGAATATGGGAGCCTCTTTTACAGTCGGTTTAGCGTGCATCCTGCGACTGGCGCCCCAAATGAAAGTAAACAAAAGGGCTGATCACCTAGCTGCACAATGCAGGAATACTATGTGTAAATATATACAGACAAGAAGAGGCAGCTGATAACGATGACAATGGTAATTGTCCAGTTTCGCACATGCTACATATAATAATTCATTTCTCTGTGCTGTCTCTTATCTTTTGTTGTTTGCTATCCACTTGCTCTTGTTATTGTAAGGAATCAGTCGGACTTTCCTTGCAAAGATATTTCCACGGCAAGGAACACCTACAAACCTTTACCATCCCCTCATCTTTTTTCTTAATATCCATGGATATCAACCATCTGCTCAACCCCTGTCCGGCAACGGCACCCCCCTCATCTATAGTTGAGGACCTCCAGCCTAAATGTCAGTTGCCTCCTATCTCAAAACTCTTTGCTGACAGCCCTCCAACTGGTTTGTCAACCCATTTCCAATTGCATACAAAACCCTTAAAATAGCTAACAACTTACGACAGAGCACGGAAAAGCCTGCTCTTCAAACTATTCTTCTCAGCCTCACATCTGCAACACACTGTCTTTATGTTCTGGCTCCCGCATTAACCACACAAACAGTTACTCTTCAACCTCATCTGTGCTGGCTACTAGTGACAAGGGTCATCAGAAGTCCCAGATTCTGGTTACTGCAGGCCGCTTCTCTATTTCAAGCCAGAGTTATATGCATGTGGGCTCCTATTCTACTCCCAATCTCAGTACAGCTTTGCACTCTGCAGTTGAGCCCTTTGCTTCCACCTGTCACGGACTCGGACCAGTAGATACTAATGAAATGATATTCCTATCTAACCAGTGTAGCCATCGACTAGAATATCGAATCTGGAGAAGAAAAGAGAAGAGGCAAATCTATTTACATGAAGAAGTCCTATATGTTTGTGTGTGGTCTCGCTAAGCAGCTTGTTTGCCTTGGTTGCTTCCATGACATTGTTTGCCGTGTTGATGATGTTTGCTGATGAAGGCGCTGAGCTGAGCCGTTACACCACCACTGTTGCTGCTCCTGCTTCTGCAATTCCCACTTCTATACACACAGGACCACCAACAGCAAATCAGATCGTCTACCCAAGCGCCAAGAAAGGCAATCAGCAGAACCACTACAAGAAGATTTGCTACATATGCCACAAGGCTTTCTCACAGCACACCAAAATGCATGTCCACATGCGTACCCACACAGGTGAGAAGCCATTTCCTTGTGACATCTGTGGCAAGGCTTTCTCACAGCTCACCAACATGCATGCTCACATGCGTACCCACACACGTGAGAAGCCATTTCCTTGTGACATCTGTGGCACGGCTTTCACACAGAGCTCTGCCCTGTATGTCCACATGCGTATCCACACAGGCAAGAAGTCATTTCATTGTGACAGCTGTGGCAAGAATTTCTCACGGCGCTACAACCTGCGTGTCCACATCATGCGTGCCCACAAAGGCAAGAAGCCACTTCATGGTGACAGTGCTGGCTGCAAAAAGGATTCCTCTGCTCAGAAACATGCAGCATCTAAGGAGCCTTCATAGTAAAGGTGGCTGTACTGTGGATAGATTTTTTCCTTTTTTGCTACTCACTTTGTTTCTCCTCTCTAAATTGATATTTTTGTTCAACAGCCATTTTAGTATCATCCATTTTATCTATCGTTTAAATACTGTCAAGCTGGGATTTGTAGAGCATCTGTAGAATATGAATACAATTTTACATATTCTATTGAGATCGCAAGCTCCATCCTGGGGAGTGCAAATGACAGGTCAAAGCTATTTTACCGTGCATGCATATGAGTAAGACATGAATCCAAGAGCTTGCGAGTGTATAAGGTCAATATCCTCGGCTTACTACTGCCTTCCCCAGTATTGCAGGTTATGCCATTGTTGGAACTGTGAACCTAGCCACTGGGTGTGTTCAGAAGTAGGCAGTGCAGACATTGGTCAAGATGAAAATGGAATTGGTCGTAGAACAGCGCGTATTCCAGCATCTGGCCTATTTCGACAAAACTGTTCATGATGCCTAGGCGAGCCATATTGCCCAGAGATGAGTAATGAGTTCAATGACAATAATAATTTGACTATCCAGTGATATGGTACTCAGCCTTGCATATCCACCTGGTATTTAATCCTACTCATCTTTCTAATATTCCAGTTTACCTTTCCTGTTTCTTACTTTCATAACACGCTACGCACCCAGAACAGACATGGTTAGTATACTGATAGACTGCGCGGGAGTATGCTAATATTTCTATTGAAGGAACCTATCCCAAGAATTGTTCTCCGGCCTCCAGCTGAATTGGCTTTGAAGTCTCTACAGGCGTTGTGTTTGGACTCTGATTCATTCATTCTTGACCACCTTAATGCTGACGGCAAAACACTCCTGAATAACTGTTCAGACCTGAAGATAAACGGATATTGTTATGAAGACAGAGCTCGCCTAAATACCAACCCAGTGCTTAGTGAACATATCAAACAGGTTTCAGAACAGATCAATTATGATAACCTTGCCAAACTAGCCATCCTTACCTGGAACTTTGACGCATCATCCCAATTGCCGCCTGAGCAGCTTTTTCACCTTCCTCGCCCATTCACACGACAAAGATGACAGCTTGTATCTGAACCTGCATACGAGCTACAGCAACCTGACTGGAAACTATTCAACAGAGCAGCAATTTAAACAGGAAGTTACAGAACTTCTTAGCTTCCTTGGAAAACGCATGGAAAGTGATTGGAATGTAATGCAGAAATACATGTCCCTGGAACAACCAACCTCCACATCAAAGGAGATCGAAAATGATCAAGAAGAGCAAGGATCAGGCAACAATTGCAATGATAATCAAAATTCCGCTGTCACTGGGCCAGAGTCTACACAAGCCCAAGACACTGAGCAACTACATTGGATATTCCCACAACCAGAGACTCATCCGACAACAGAAGAGCAGTTGAAAGCTGAGGTTCACGCAATCTATGCTGGCCTGGCTCTGGTGGAGGAGAGATGCATTGGCCACCAACAATCAGATCTAGCAAGCATACAAGATCAGTGGCAGGTTTTGTTTTCCTTGCACCGGATTCTGCTTGATGAACATAACGACTTTTTTTTTGCCTCGCAACACCCATCCGCAAGCCTTGCTTTGAAACAGTTGCCTGAGAAATACGCCATGCCAGCCCGGATGTGGCGCTATGGAATCCATTCCTTTCTTGAATTGATGCGGCATCAACTCCCAGATTCATTAGAACACCTTCCCAGCTTCTTTCATCTGGCCTACTCAATGATAGCTCTGCTCCTCGAAAATGTCCCTGTTTTTGAAAGTATATGGATTGAGTGTCTTGGTGACTTGGCTCGCTACCGGATGGCCATTGAAGACTCTGATCTAGCGAATCGCAAGATATGGGCTGATATAGCCAGGTATTGGTATCACAAATTGGCTGATAAGAATCCAAATCTTGGCAGAATCCAGCATCATTTGGCTGTTCTGGCTTGGCCAGACATGCTCCAACAGCTTTTTAACTATACCAAAAGTTTGGTTAGTGTCTGCCCATTTCCCAATGCTGGAGAGAGCATCCTCTTACTATTTGATCCACTCCTTGATGAGTCAGGATTGTATGGTCAGCCAGTGGCAGTTTCTGCATTTGTAGCTGCTCATGGATGTCTAGACCTGGCTTTGGGCCGGGTTTGGGCCGAGTTTCAGGCCCATGGCCCGGCCCACAAGGCCCATGGACGGGCCGGGGGTCAGGTCAGCCCACCCATGGGCCAATGGGCCGGCCCATGGGCGGCCCACGAAATGCCCATTTGGCTCCCAAATTGCATAAAACTAATGCATAACTTGCTTACTTAGCTCGATAAAATACCATCGTTTTGTATACCATCTCTTAACTATGCTATTAATACCAAATTTACAAATGCCTTTTGATTGCAGAGATATATATTCATTGTATACAGTACTCATGTATTTCACCTAGCAAGACAGTATCTTAAATATTTCCATCATATTACTATTTTCGTATATAAATCTAAGAGTTTAATACGGTCTGATTATACTAAATCGTCATAACTACTTTATATAAGCATACAGTATAAAAAAAGTGGCTTGATTGATATATATGAGCTGATCGCAG